TTCTGCCATTCCTAATTACCAGTCTTATTTTTATCATTAACTCATTGTGTGACATGAAGAAAAAGTCACACATTTTCTTCACCTGCAAAATGAAAGGATTGGGATTCTATAACCCCAAAGATCATTTTCACCCTAAAATTTTACAAAATTGGTCTACTTCTTTATATTTCTTGGAGCTAATTCTGCCCTCCTTAAATCACTATAGCTGAATTCATTATGGATAGTTAGGTGTGTACTTAAGAGCTACCCTGAGGACAGAGCATGGAATAGACAGCTTAGGTGAAAAGAAAAGTACAGAAAAGGTTGAGAAATAAAAATAAAATCTTAAGCCCTGCTTCAGACTGAATGGATCCCCTCTTGGCAAGCGACCCCAGTGAGACCTTAAAATCTGAGTTCCTGGCCATGACAGGATAGAAGGTCTGACATGCCTCATTATACCCCCTTCTTCAATAACCACCATTAGGCTTTCTTTCCAAAGAGTTAAACAAAAATAAGCTCTTCAAAAGACTTGCTCCACTGCTCATTTCTACCAAGCACAGGATGCTTACCCTCTCTTTTTGAGGTTTTGACACAACAACTGACCAGTATTCCTTCCTGATAAGGGACCACCGACCATGAACTGATTCTGGTTAGTTTGCAGAGGCTGCACACAAGATGTGTCCTTTTTCACCTTTTGATGTATAAAGCCTAATTTGAATGAATTTAAATGTTGTCTCCTTGCTTAGGTGAACATGTGACATATATAACACACATGTTTGCTTACTACACATGCATGTGCCCCTTTGTTAATACTCATAGCTCCTTCTATAATCTGTTGAATATGTATACTTAGCTGACCTGTTTAGCATTCCCGTCTCATCCTTCCCTCCCTCAAAGTTATAATGGAAGCTATGTTTCCCAGCCTGTGGGAATGGCCAGCCTGCAAGCTACAACTCTTTATAAGAAATGAAGCTCTGCTTTCCAAATTCATGAACCTCATGATTCTTCAGTTGACAAGGCTCAAATGAGTGTCTCCTTATCTCTAAATCTCTTATCTCTAAATCTGGATGTCTTAAATTCTGTTATTAATACCTTCCCAGAAAGAAAGGATCATAATGTTTAGAATCTACTAACAGGCAGTAAGATGTGCCTCCAGTATTAGTTTTCTGGTGGTGAAAAGTTCTGCTGGTTCTAAATGCAATTTCATGCAAGGAAATAATTTATACAGAAGAAGAGCCTAGCTCAATGATTTGCAGAAGGTCAGTCAACGTATTTACACAGAGTGAACAAATGTAAACTAGTTAATTTCAGCCTTTTGTCAGTTTTATTGAAACTATTTTCTCCAGATGTTTCCTTTGCGATCATCAATAACAAAAACTGTTCCTTGCAAAAAATAATTAAAACAAATCAATCATCTTTCTGAAAAACATAGCTTCATATGATTATGGCAAGTGAAGTTAGCAAAGAGGCATAATGGCTTTTTTCGTTTAGTAGCAGTCTATATCAAAACAAAAAATGCACTTGATAAAGTTAAACAGGCCAAGAAGACTCTATTAAAGGGTATTGTAATGGAGAAAAAAGCCAAAATATTAGTCTGAGTTCATCTCCAGTAAACAAAGTGCTGGAGAGTTTTTCAGAACTGTGGGTTTTGGGAGGTCAGGTAATTAGAGCCATCTCTGTTTGCTTATTGTTCTCACCCAATGGAAAAGTAACTTTCTCATGTCTTCAAGATAGGAGGTAGTTTTGCAACGTAGAGCAAGATGCAACAGGGAAGTTAGGTTGGACCCTTTTCCACAGAAGTTAGAAAGAGGGCCATTATCCTCTTTGATGATTACTTTTCAATAAAATGGTTCCCAAGTTTTTAAAAAAGATAGAAAAAAAAAGTTGTAGGGGCTGAGGAAAAACTTCCCCTTTGCCCTGTGCAGGTTCACTAAAAACAACTGACAAAAGGCAAATGAATAGGAGAAATGGCCTACAAATTTATTAACATGCATGGGGGAGAATCACAGAGTGATTACCTCACCACAGAATGAGGCGCAGTTATATATTCTTTTTGAGGTAAAAAGAGACAGGGAAGTGTGGATGACTTTAGGGTGGGGTAGTAAACAGTCTTTAGAGGAATTCAGAGGGCTTGAAGAACATACAGTGGCCTGGGACAAAGTCCGCTGGGCTTGCAGAGCAGTGATTTGTGACAAAAGTTTGTCCAAGTGTGTTGACAGACTTCAGTTTCTCTTCCTGTAATATAAGTTCAGTTAATGAACAATCAGTAAAGGGAATATTAGTAATTGTTTTTTTACGGCAGGTCAAGAATTTAGGTAGATTAAGGGACTATCAGAGAAAACTTTCATCCTGTGCTTTAGGAGAGATAGAGGATTGAGAGACAAGAGTTGTGGGGCTTTGCCAGGCCACAGGTGTTAGAGAGACCTGATACTGCTTTCTCAGTTCAGCATTTCAAAGCATCATATTTTGGGGTATCGGTGTTTGAGACTCAACATAGTCCTGGGTTTTATAGTCCATAGTTTTATAAAACTGGCAAGAGGCTTTAGAAAAAATTTACATCTCAAAGGGACAGAGAAAGAATTTATAATTACAAATTTTCTAAAGTAAATTATCTTAGAAAAGGGAAGTCAGGGACCTAGTCAGAAAGAAATTTACCTCAAGTTTAGTCAAGCTAACAGTAATATGTTAAGACCTTCTTGGTTACCTAGTAAGTATAATTTAACTATTAGCAAAAATTCCAATCAAGGATTTATTTAATACCATAGGAACAAGGAAAAGAAATCATGTTCAGGAACACACATGTACATTAACATACTTCAGTTAAACCCAAAAATTTTTCAAAATTTTTTTCCTTTAAAACCTGAAACTTATAATCATCCCTATGGACAGAAAGAAGCAAGCACAGACAGGTTAGTAAATGCTGTCCACTGCTCAAAGTGTTGGAAGGCAAACAGTTATAAAATTCAGTTCCTATTCTTTAGATGTTTCTCTAGAGAAATTAAGAGATAATGATCAATACAAATTGGTATATTTTAAATACCAAATGGGAGGTACCAATAGAAAAGACTCCAAGAACTCGGCAAGGCAAAAGGCACACAGGGAGATTTTCATTTTGCATCTTTTGTTACCAAATCTAATTCAAACCAATGACTGATTTCCACAGCTGCAGAAGTCAATGGCCATTTCAAATTTATAGATGGCAGCTGGGCACGGTGGCTCACGCCTGTAATCCTAGCACTCTGGGAGGCCAAGGTGAGTGGATTGCTCAAGGTCAGGAGTTTGAGAGCAGCCTCAGCAAGAGTGAGAATCCGTCTCTACCAGAAATAGAAAAAAATTAATTGGCCAATTAAAAAAAAATATATATATATATATAAATTAGCCGGGCATGGTGGTGCATGCCTGTAGTCCCAGCTACTTGGGAGGCTGAGGCAGGAGGATCACTTGAGCTCAGGGTTTGAGGTTGCTGCGAGCTAAGCTGATGCCACAGCACTCTAGCCAGGGCAACGGAGTGAGACTCTGTCTCAAAATAACAAACAAACAAACAAACAAACAAACAAACAAAAACACTATAGTCTATAACTCACCAAAAATCTATTAAAATAACTTCAGTGTAATCTATAAACTAGGCTAGATGAAATAGCCCAGGCAACAGAAGTGAAAAATAAAGGGAGGGGGGGAACCAAACAAACTTATAGACGGCTTCTCTCCTTATGAATCATCACAAACTTTGAACTCATGGTAACAGAGCCCAGATCCCTTGACTAAAGAGCTTGAAATTACAAAGCAAAATATTTGCCAACTTGATTTGGCAGAGCACTGATCCACTTACCCTCAGAAGCTTTCAGGCATGCTTTAAAAAACAAACAAACAAAAAAAAAACACCTATTTTATAAGTGATTTCAACATTATTTGACATTGCTGGTTCTGTTTCATGTATCTTTTTAATTGGCAGTCTTTGGTATTTGGTGTCCTAAGTTAATTTCCTGACGAAGACTGTCACATAAGAATAATCCAATAAATACTCAACTGACTGAAACACAGTTGAGACCTCATTATCTAAATATATTTTAACAGTGCTGGGACTTAGTTTCTATACTATGTTCACTTTCAGCAATGCCCTTAACGACTCCAAGATACTTTTCATTTTAAAGTAATAATAAATAAGAGACACATTGTTCTTCTTTCTGGCTCTCTGAGACATGGAATGGACAGCACCATGTGTGAGGAAGTGAGATGCTGCGTGCTCAGAGCTCTTCTCTAACACAAAAGATATTTTTACAGGAAAGGTCGCCCTTTATGACATTTTCATTTTGGAGGATGGATCATATGTTTTCAGTTCTCAGCAACAGTTGCTATAGCTAAAACTATCTAAAAACTCCCTATTTCTCCCTAGAGATGTACTTAGGATGGTTTTGTATTGTCCAAGAGGTGCCTCTTTTAGCATGCACTAGGGTTATCTTTGTCAGCAGTATAGTCTTGTTACTGAAAGTTCAGAAATTATCCTCAAGGCTGCATCAGAAGAACAGGAACAAGCAGTTTGAGGAGAAGGAAAGGAAAGTTTATTATTTTGACAGCAAAGGAGGAAACATGGTAGACCTTCTCATCTCAAAATCAAAATTTCCTCTGCAGAAATACAGAGCTTTTAAAGGAAAGGCCCTTAGTTCTTGGCTATCTTGATTAATTATTCTAATCATCCCATCTCTGTCAAAGACAAAGCCTGTTATCTTTGCCCACCTGGGCCCACCTAGGGGGCTGGCACCAGCCTGGGATGGCTGAGTTATCTCCTATAACACAAAGAACAAAAAATCTTCTCCTTGCCTCAGGGATGCAGGCCAGGACACAGTTCCCAAAAAGAATGGGGGAAGATTTAAAAAGACAGAAAATATTTTTGCCATTTTCTTCAAGCCATTCCTTCTGTTATAATCTGCACCAAAGTAATTTCATGCTCAGACTGAATTTGTGGTAGTTGAGTTAGAGTAAGGAAATGTGGTTCCAATGCTTTCATGTCTAAAAAGACTCACTTGAAGCCTGCTGGTATCTTATGTTTCCTCACTATTTCTTCATTTCTTTACTTCTTAAATAAGTTTATATTGGCTGAATTTAGGCTTATGAAACATCCTATACACAAAGGAACAATGAGAATATATATGTTTATTAGCATTTTTTTCTATTTTAATTCATCTACCATACTCATAACTCTGACACAATTTATATAAATATAGATTAAAACTAAGAGACTTAATCCTCCCTGTTGAAAATAAAAGATTTCTTTTCCTTTCTTTTTCTTAGAGCATTTGCTTTAGAAAACTTATAAGCATAAGTACCATCTCCTCTCTTTGAAATGTATAAATCCTTTTGAAAACTAGATCGGCCTTTTTTCAGCTTAATATCCCAAGAATGCCTTTCTCAAGGACTTGGAAGTCCTCTCTTTGAAATGTAAATATCAAGGGAGATAGCACCCCTATCTCCCTGTTTTTGTGGGAACAGAGGAAACCTATTCTAAGTCTAAAAATATCTATCATAAAGATATGAAAAGTTTGTTTCTTCTCTTAATAAAGCCAATTATCTATCACAGATGGTCACCCCAATTATCAGGTGAATTTCCGATGAACTATGTATATATGTGTGACAGATGGGGCTGTTGAATCCTCTTGGGAGGACTCATTTTTGTTTACCTTGAAAACAGGTTGTACCTGCTTGACTATATTAAAGGGTAAGGCTTCTTTTTGTCTTTGCAATCTCTTTGTTGATTGTGATACACATCACATTCTGGTTTAATTCTAATTCAGTCATAAAACTGTTTTCTTTTACTACTTTTGTGGAGAAGTTTTTGACTCAGAACATACTCCCCCAAAATATGGCACCTTGGCATACTATTTTAAGCTGAAGGAAATTGAGAAAACTGCAGAAGCAGGAAAGTCACACTCTCTGACTTTCTTCCACCTTTCTTCCCTGAAGCAGGCCATAAAAGAATTCTCTGACTTTCCCTTGAAGCCAGTGTTCTCCCTATGCCCAGAGGAAAAAAGACAAAGTCACAGAGATCCCAAGAAGAATCTGAATAAATGGGCCTGGCTAAGTTGTTCCCAGTGTATTACCATTAGATCGTACCTGTTTGTCTCCCAATCATACTTCTGTGATTGTCCATAAAAATACACTGTTTTTCCTGTTTCCTTGGGTCTTCATCTCTGAAGGCTTGCATGTCACATAAAACTCATATCAAATAAATTTGTATGCTTTTCTCTTGTTAGTTTGTCTTTTGTTAGAGGGTTCTCAGCCTTAAACCTTGTGATGGATGAGAAAAAAGTATTACTTTTTCTCCCCTACACTGAGTTGGGAGAGGATTTGGTTTTAATTATATTTCCCCAACAATACTAACCACAGTTTGCTAGTGCAGACACAAGTAAATGAGTAACTATGTCCCACTGACTGGGGAAGGTAGATACTTGGACTCTACCAGTGCTCTTACCTCACAGGATGTTTTCTCACATTTAATTCCTTACTAACATATGTAAATAAAAATGTGTCTTTTACTCATATATTGAAGTTTGTCAAACTATGTATAGACTTTTTTGCTGTCAACCTGAAGTTGGGTTAGTAATTTTCTTCCATGACACATTGACAGTTAAGTCTTAACTCTAAAACAAAACATAACACTAAAGGTAAACACCATTCTTTTAATCACTGCTAATTAAATCCACCGTCATACTCTACAAAAGATGAATTACTGAAAGAACATCCTGAATTCCAATTAATTTGGGGATTAATTGTTGTGTAATTCTTGGTAAATTGTGGTTCTCCAGTAAATACTAACCATTTACAAAATTAAATTGTTGAAAGTGGAAAGTAAAAAAAATATGCAGAAATCAAGAAAACTTTCATAACTGTCTCAGTACACAGCAGACTTATTTTCATGAATTGCTAGAGAATTAATCATAATGAGCATTAATTGGGTATCCATATTATGCAGTCTTGCACTGCTTTCTTTTCATGTCTTCAGTATACAGATGTTCCTTGAGTTACGATGGGGTTGCATTCCAAAAAGCTCATTGTTAAGTCAAAAATGATGTAAGTCAAAAATTCATTTAACACTCTGATAAACCCATCAAAAAGTTGAAAAATTGCAAGTCAACCATCAGAAGTCCAGATGCTCCTCGACTTACAATAGGGTTATGTCCTGATAAATACATCATAAAGTCAAAATATCATAAGCACAACCATTATCAGTCAGAGTCCATCTGTATCTATAATATTAGTGGTGCTTTTAAAAATTCACTCTAGTTTTCTTCAATGTCATCACTTGTGAGCCTGCGTATTTGTGCCAGAAATGCCACCATCAGTTAGAAGATTTTAGAATTAAAAAAATTCACCACAAGTTCCCTTTTCACATTATTTTTAAATCTGTTGACACTCTGGAATCAAATGATCACCTATTGAAAAAGGTTGAATACCCTTTAGGAAAGACAAACTCAGTGAAAACCACAGCTTGCATATTAAGAAGCAAGACAGGTAATATTACTCTTCATTTAAAAGTATTTTGACTTGTGACTAATCAATAAAACTTTTCACATATGATTTTTTAACTGGCTTTGAAAATGCTCCTTCAACGAGGGCCATCCTTTCGTGGTAAGTTTTATCATATTGTTTCATAGCAGTAGAGTGAAGAAATGAGTAAAAGTAAAATTTCAAGATATGCTAAAACTGGCAGGGTAATTTAGGTCTTCATATTCAAACATTTGGAAAATATATTCACACATTTGTAAAAAGTTATATTTGAGGCTTCTGGTTTCTAGTCCGGCACATAAAGACTTTGTGACTTCATCACCCTGTTCCAACAAGTAAAATGCTGGACAAACTGAAAAAATGAACAACTGTTCTTAGATACATCAGAGAAGGAAGGGTCACAAGGCAAACCACTGCCCCCAAATTGGAGAGATAGATGGAGAGATATGGGGAAATCACAACTTGTCAGAGCAGAAACCCACTACCAGTACTGGGTAAGAAAAACTAAACTGTAATTGCTAAATTTTTGGAAGCTGAGTGTGGATAAATCTGAAAGCCACAGAATCCAGGGCAGGGGAGTCCAGGGCAGGGGAGTCCAGGCATAGATAGAGGACTCCAATACTTGTGTGAATTTTGCCTCTAGATCCTCCACCAGTTTCTCAAAGTGAAGATGACAAAAAAAAAAAAAAAATCCCTCTGCCTTCCAGCAGGAGTAGGGGAAAAGGAATAGTTTAAAATACAACACAGCATTTTGCTCTTCTTAACAAGGCCTGTCTGCAAGAGAAACTATTTTACCAGAGCCTAACCTATTAGGTGTTTATCAAGTCTAACTGACCTGGGAGAAGTGAAAATCAAGACGATGATAAAATGCTACTGCACAGCTATTGAAATGGTCAGGGCTCAGAACACTGAGGGAACCAGCTTCTGGTGAGAATGTGGATGGCAAGAACTTTCATTCATTACAAGTGGGAGAGCAGGGTGGTGCAGGCACTTTGGAGGAGAGTTCGGAAGTTTCTTCTAAAACTAAACATGTGTTTGCAGTGTGATCCAGTGGTTACACTGTTTGGTATTTACCCAAATAGGTTGAAGACTTGTGTCTACACAAACCCTGCACACAGGTTTTTGTAACAGTTTTGCTCATGATTGACAAGAGTTAGTTAGCATGTCCTTCGGTGGGGTAAATGGATGGATAGATTCTGGTGCATCCAGACAATGAAATATTTTTCAGTCCTAGGGAGAGGTGGGCTATCAAGGCATGAAAAGAGGTGGAGGAATCTTGGCTACTACATATTGCTGGCTGGAGGAGGCCAGTCTAACTGGTCTGCGTACTGTGTAATTCCAATTATGTGGCATTCTAGAAGGAGCAGGACTATAAAGACAGTGAAGGGATCCCTGGTTGCTGGGAATGGGGGTGAGAGTTGGAGGGAGAAATAAATAGATCGAGCACAGAGAGGCCTGGAGACAGTGAAGCTATGCTATATGATACTGTAATGGTGAACAGATGCATGCCATTATATGCTGTGACTTGGAGAATGTACAACACTGAGAGTGAAAACCCTAGTGTGAACTGGTGGAGTTTGGATGATAATGACATATCAATGTAGGTTCATCAATTATAACAAATATATCAATCCATTTTGGGATTTTAATTGTGGAGAAGGCTGAGGATGGGGAGAAGGATGTATGGAAAGTCTCTGTACCTTCTGCTCAATTTTCCTCTGAACCTAAAACCACTCTTTAAAAAAAACCTATTATTTAAAATTATCATATTTGAATGTATATGTCTTTCTAAAAGTTCCAATATTCTCTAGAATAAAGTAGAACATGCTTTACCTAAAGAATAAATATTGCCATATATTTTAAAAATTGTTTAAGGTTATTAAGATCATGTTTATAAATAATAAACATAAAAGTTAATAATTACAAAATGTTTTGCCTTATAAACATCTTGTTTGGTAGAAAAAATAAATTTCAAAATTAGTAGCTTCTAATATTATTATTTTATATTCATGCCATTGAAATTTTAACTTTCTAAATCTATTGCCAATATTCAGAAATTACTCTAGACAAGTATATGCTTTCTGAAATGCTTGAACAAAAGTTTCTTAAAGGATTTGATTTTCACTCATGCTGCAAGATAAAATCTCTGACTTTTAAAATGGAATATTAGAAGACTTTGATCCTTAGAGAATAGAATTTAATCAGATTGAAGTAAGATAGCTGTGATGGACAGTTATTTATTTAAGAGCACAATATGACTTTTCAGTTTTGATAAGCAAAGTGCCCTCTTTTAATATTAAAGTTGACAACTGAAGTGAACTTATTTTTAAGTTCAGAAGGTAAGATAAGACATGTCTATAAACCCTAGGAAAGTTTTATGTTTCACATGGAAATAAACAGTTAGACACCTGGTTACCAATAAAATTCTATCATGAATCATTTTCAGAGAATTTGAAAACCATCAACCAAGGCCTACCAACCAGCCCCATTCTTTTTTGTGTTTCTCTGCAACTCACCCAATACCGGCTCACACCTGGTATTCAACAATA